GCGCCACGCCACGACCTCCACGACGAGGTCAGGCAACCACCCGCCTCTCCCGGCCCCGCGCACTACCCTCCCGGCTCGGCTCACCCTATAAGACAACTAGAAAATGTCACGCCAACTACGCCCAAAAAAGAAAAGAACTCACTATTTCGAAAGAGAGAATACATTGGTTTGAATAGACAAGCTAGACACGGCTGTCGCAAAGTAGGCTTATCGGTCTAGGACTCGGGCCTATTTCAGCGACACCCGCCCCCACCGCCTCCGCCGCCCCCGCACCGCACGGCGTGTGTTTGCGCAGCTCTCCACTGTTGGCGGCTTGTGGAAGGCGGCGAAGAACAAAAGCGGTCCGGGTTATTAAGGGGAGAGGTGACGGTGCGGGGGCGCCCGGCTCGAGCCCGGCTCGCACCTTGGCGGCCGCGGCCAGCCCTGCAGGGCCCCGCACAATGCGCTCAGAATGGAAACTTGCGCGATATGGCATCACACTATGGCCAAGTCGCCTTTCGCCGGGTTACAGCGCGGCAGCGGGTAGGGCGGGGCGGGGCGGGCTGAGCAACTTTGTAGGGGTCCCTCCACTCGTTAGGAGCGTCTCATGTCACGCCCCACGCCGCCTCCCCACTCCCCGCGCTGCTCCCCGCGCTCTCATTGTCGGTGACTTACCGTGCCGTGCGAGGGAGGAGCGAGGCCCGCGCGGGCGGGCGGTGCGAGTGTGACACTGTCGGGGCCGCGTTCGCGACGCACAAACAATCCCTGAGCGCGGCGAAGAGGGCCGCGGCGGCGCTCCACAATCCGCACGCCGCCGCCGCGCGGCTGGGTTTCGCGCAATTATCGGAAAGTGGAGCAGGAGGGGGCGAGGGCCCGGGCGCGGCGGGGGCTCGACTCGGTGTCCTCTCGTCTCGACGAGATTCATTTCACGTTCGACGTCACACATTCCCCCCACTCCACTCCTGGACCCATCAAGCCCGCGCGCTCACCGCCCGCCGCCCCGCCGCGTCACGTGGTGCATGCAGATCGTGACGCCGCTGACCCAGCCATAGTAGTCGAGCTTGTTTTCCTCCCGACAC